TAAACCTTTGACTATATCAACATTCTCAGCTTCTTTTGGTCAGCAGCGCTACATCTCTGCTGAGTGAAATAAGTCTTCTTCTATAGGCATTCACATACCTTCTGCTGGCTGGAATGGTCCTTTCAGCAGCTGGTGGCTTTCTTGCACTAGAACAGGTACAAACCAGAGAAGTGTAAGGTGGGAGACCAGACCTGCCAGAAGTGTGGGGATAGGGCAGCTGTCTGTTGCCAGAGGCAGGGGAGTTATGGGCTAGGCCTTGGATTGCTGTAACTGGTAAACTTTTCTTCAGTTGACTGGTCCTTAGACTTTAAGGCTAGGGACAGACATTCAAAAAGGCTGAGCCTGAATTGATTCAATCCTTGCAGGTTAGTCTAACCTGGTTAGGGTGAACCAGTTTGTAACCACACAAACATCACCTCTGGACTGAGGAAATGTAGGCATATGCCTGCAGTGGCTAAGGCTAGAAGCTGGTGGGGCACTAGAGCAGCCTTTCCTTCCCTTCCCTTTTGTAGCACTGAACTGAGGGGGCGGGTGTGGCCTGGCCCCAGCAGGACACTTTGATTAGGAAGGGGTCATCCACCCTCCTTGCTGCTCCTCTGACCAGGGACAGAGTCCCTACTGTGGCATTTACTTACACAGCAGGGAGTTGCATAGCATTTATCAGCCCATCAGCAAAACAAAAACCCCTCTCATTAGTTCAGGCTCTTCTTAAACAACTTTTTTACAAGGAAGGAATGGAGGGACGTTACCAGCTACTTGTTCATTAGCTCCAAAAAGCCCTGAGCAGACACTGACCTGTCTGCCTTTGTCCTGTCTGCCTTACACAGATACCTCTCAGCATTAGCTAGCATACCACATGCTACCAGAGCTCTAGCCAGGGAGCAGAGGGGCGGGCCAGCCCTGCTGTGGAGCTGATAGCCCCGTCCCAGGGCTAACAAGCATCTGGGATGCTGGGGCAGTCTGGTTTAAGTTAAACCAGGACAGGGTCTGGGACAGACATTGCATAAACCAGATATTGCATAAACAAATTTGACCCAAATCAGTTAAGTCTGACACTACGTTCAGCCAAGTTTATTGCAGACCGGCATCAGCCATTTTCAGACTGGTTTATGTTTACTGAATGTCTGTTCTGTTACAGGTTTAAACTGGTTTCTGATCTCTTAAACTGGTTTATGGGTAATGTCTGTCCCTAGCCCATGTCAGAGAGCAGCCTTGAAAATGACTAATCCTTATTCATTTTTCCCTCCTTTAACCAAAAGGGGCAGCATTAGCACAAGAGCGTGACATGCAGTATCTGCAGAGGATGAAGGCTAAGTGGATGCTGAAGACAGGAATGAGTAACAACGCTACGAAGCAGATGCATTTTCGGGGGCAGGTCCGGTTCTGAACCCTCCCCTCACCCCCCCCCCCCCCCCC